TATTAATTATTATAATTATTAGTCATATACTTATTTGTTTTACAAATGTTAAGATTTATATACATAAATGTATAAATAAATACATTAGTTAAATATTGGTTTGTCATTTCTTACCGGTAACACTAATGGATAGTATACCACGAATACCGTACATTCACTCAAATAGTGCTAATATTTATACACAATATTTAATTCTTTGATCTAACAGTGTAAAGTTATTACGAATAGTGTCTTAACATGCAGTACAATGTCATATTAATATTAATATACAGTATGAATACGTGATCTAGAATTTTAGAGCCGTGTTATAGAGGTAGACAGGTATGGGTAGACAAGTACACTACAATGCATTTTACAAATTGAACCCTATATACCGGTAATAAAAGTGTTCAAGTTTAACAGTTAAACACATTGAAAATTGTTAATTTATATTGTTAATTAACTTGAACAGTATCTTGATAATAATTATATCATTTAATTCTACTGAATTGTAATGCCCAAATCACCTAATGTTTAACAACAAATTCTTATAATTCAGATTAGAAGTTTAGAGAAAAATTAAAGTATAAATAAGTCCGCAATATAATATAAATTACATTGGCAATTATCAAAGTAAGGTTAGTACTGTACAGTATTTATAAGTACAGTCTAAGAATAACATACTGTAACATTACAGTAATCAATTCCATATCATTTAAAATTTTATGAAATATTTCAAAAACATACACACTTTTAGCAAATAAAAATTTCTGTTATCACGGTATAAATTGCTTTAAATTTAATTCAAGAATTTAGTCAAATACTGTATATAAAATGGCAATTAAAATATATAAAATTGAGTTTAAAATATTTAGTATTACCTATGATAAAGGGCCACCCATTTAGCACTTTGGTGTCCATACAATCAAATAGACATCAATTCGAAGAACGTATGCTCTTTATTAATGAATAATTTAATCCTTATATAAAGTGTAATAAAAACATCTGAGTTATAAAATATCCTATTTTCTTGATTATTGTATAATTCTTAACACATTGAAAGACTTGAAAGACTGTGCGAATGGATCCCAAGTTTAGCTCAAATTCGCCAATTCATAGACATAGGCGGCGAAGACTTTGGTGCCTTCGATGTAATTCCTTTTGTCGATCTTCTCATTCTGAGAGTGGGGGTCGTCATCGGGCCCTCCCATCGGCAATAGCAGCACATTCTTATCAGTCGCCTCATGGAAGGTGAGCGTCACGGGTATGGATCCGCCGTCACGGGTCAGGTCCGGCTCCACTCCAAACACAGTTTTCATGGCTTTACGGGCGGCCATAAAGTTGGGGTCATTTGGATCGCAAACCCACGGTTTGCCGGTATTTGGCATAACAACTCTCAGTTTGTTAGGACTGTCCATCTTTTTGAACTCACTGTTCAAGTAATCGATCACTTGTTTGCCAACTTTTTCTGGGTCCTGATTGGGGACCAGTCTTATGGAGAACTTTCCCACAACTTTACGCGGGATTACAGTCTTACCGCCCGCGCCAGCAAACGCGCCTTCAATTCCGTGCAATGAAAGGGATGGATATCTCCAGAGATGGGTCAGAGTCTTGACTTTATCGCAATGGATGAGCCTTTGAATGCCCACATCGTCGCGGAACTGATTGCAATCGAACTCAATCTTATGGTAGAGGCCCTCCTCGTGAGTGGTGAGGGGCGCCACGTCGTCCATAACCCCGGGCACTAAAATCTTTCCCTTATTATCAACTAATTTTGACATAAGAAGCACCAAATCAGTCATCGCCTCGTGAACGGATCCGCCGTAAACGCCTGAATGCAGGTCTTTGGCCGCGCACTCGATCTCCGCATAGAAATAGGAGATACCTCTCAAGCCGTATGTGAGACACGGCTTCTCAGTTGCCAACCAATTGCTATCAGTAATGCATACAAAGTCAACATTCTTGAGGAAACCATTGGCTTCAGCTATGATCACATCGTCGAGTCCTTTAGAACCCGATTCTTCCATTCCCTCGAAAACAAACTTAAAA